TTGCACAATTGGCGAGTAGCAGGAGCGAGGCTTTCTGTCTGGGGCATCATCCGAAAATAGGGAAAAAATTGTGTTGCTGTTCTGTGAGAGCATACTCACACAAGGACTTTTGCCACTTGTCTGTAGTCGTAGTCGTGGTCAGGTGCATCGAGGCCGGATCGGAAACGCTGTCATATACATCCTGGAAAGACCTAGTGTTAGTGTGCCCTGAGTAGCGGAGTGAGGGCCTCATACTTGCACTCTCGCTCGCTAAACGACAAAACAGCACGAACGACAGCCAAACAATAGATATGGATTCCTGGAGGACACAGTGGGCCTCGCTCCACTAACTCTCCAGATGTGCAAATGAGACTGAGGGCATACTCACACGAGGACAAAAAAACCCAAAATCCTGAAATTTGAGTAATTTTTCGGGTCACACTGGGGAGGCTCGCTACCCAAATGCCTCAAACCGTGACCCTTCTGTCAGCGGCCTGCAGGGCCGCGGGCGTACCCTTTTTGAGACGACCTCCGGAGGTGGTCTCAAATTACCTTTCGTTTTCTTTTTTCCGTTTTCTCGAATTGAAGAGAATCGTAGAAGAAGAAGCCAGCCCGCCAAACAACTGAAAGTGCGACCAGGTACATTTACTTTGCAGATAAGGCCCAAGCGTTAATTTTTTTTTTTCAAACGATCCATCGTATCGTTTGGTCCTCCCCCGTGTGACCGGGCGCACTTGCCGTGAATGCAAAGTGTCAGGGTCGCGACTTCGTCCCTTCTGGACGAGGTCCGCCCGTGTGACCACACGGGGACCAAATGCCTCAAAAAAGGCGAACCAAATGCCTCAAATTTTTGAGACTTTTGGTCCTCGTGTGAGTGTGCCTTGAATCTTGCACTAGAACATGGAGAGAGACACTGCCATATGTTTTGTCTTTTGTGCATGTGGAGAGTAGTGGAGCGAGGCCCTCGTTCTGAAATTCAACGTCTCGTTGACCTAGCGGCTGTGATGTTTCGTAGGAATAGCAAGTTACTTGCAACCGTGCGGCCAACCCCTTGCATATCTAGATTAAAATGCGCGGAGCACGACCAAAAAGAAAGAAAATGCCGACTCCTCCCCACAACCACGAGGCCCAGGGCCAAGACGGAAAAGGGTCTCGCGTTGGAGCGTCATGCGAGGCACGGGTTAGCCTTTATACAGAGTATATATATAGATAACCCAACCAGTATAAAGAGTATATATATAGATAACCCAACCAGCTGATGCTGTGTACCAGGAGTTGAGGAGGAGTTGAGGAACGGCAAGTTTCAGCCTGCTAACTTGAACCAGCCGAGTTTAAGAGTCGAAAACTTCCAACCACGTTTTAAACCGCTGCGGTAGTACAAGCCACATATCGGCCACGGGCTCGTTCTGGAGGCCAAAACACGGTGCCGGCCGGCCGCCGATTTATTTTATCAACGGCGTGCCGGCCCCGACTTTTTTGGAGTAGGTGACGAACAATTCTCCACTAGGCTAGGGCCATGTACTTGCAGTTTAAGGCGGCCGGCGGCCGGTAGGGACCCAGGTCTCTGTCCTCTTCCACTGAAGAGGGGTGAATGAAGCCTAAAAAGTTTGTTTGTTTTTTTTTCCTTCACTGAATGTGATATGGTTTTATAAGCCCCGCCTCGCGGGGCAGCTTAGGTCGTGCTCATGCCGGTTTTGTATTGGCTGTATCTGCATGAGAGAATACGAACGACCAAGGTTGATTACGAATGAAATTTCCTAGTGCAAAATGCCCTTTTAGCCAGTTGATATTCTTAAGACTACGTAGTACATAGTATATAGTACATAGTACATAGTACATAGTAGTACGTAGTTCGTAGTACATAGTAGTACATAGTACATAGTACATAGTACTAGTACATAGTAGTACGTAGTTCATAGTACATAGTAGTACATAGTACATAGTACATAGTACATAGTACATAGTAGTACATAGTAGTACATAGTACATAGTACATAGTAGTACATAGTACATAGTACATACCCTGTAGACTACATAGTACATAGTAGTACATAGTAGTACATAGTACATAGTACATAGTAGTACATAGTACATAGTACATA